AGCCAAGCTCCCACCCAATCAGCTCAAACCCCACTGGCAGTTAAAAGGAAGAAACAGCTGCGATCACACACACTACTCCCAGAAGCACGAAGCTGAAGACACCAGCCTGAAGATGACGAATGTGACTTCGTCGAAACGTCGCCAAGACACTTCTAATTCTACGCGGGAGAAAACCCGAATAACTAAAGACCTACATACATACATACATACATACATACATACATACATACATACATACATACATACATATATCCATTTACCATCATCCACATGTATACCATTTATTTTCTCACACATAGACATAAAAACGCATATGGGATCAGGGCAGAAGTGAATATGATCAAAACTTACTATTCTCAGCAATCAGTGGGAAAATGCACAGGGAGAAAAGGATGTTTTTTATTTTACTTAAAGCAAACTACATTTGGAGCAGAAACGTTTGCAGGCACACTAAGCCATAAGTTGCTTTAGCTATTGATTAAAATCACAATTTTAAAACAACTGGTGAAACTACAATATTAAATTATGGTTTGAAATGGCTTTAATATTATATCTTTTTCTGCAGGTAATTAACTGTGGATGTACTAAAACAAAAATATTTGTTTTCATTTGATTTTTCCTTTCTACCCTTTATTTATTTTATTTTATTTTATTTATTTGTGCAAGTTCTACATACGTAAGAAAAAGAAGCACATACCCCATTTGGCTTACTACCCGTGTTATAATTAGCTGAATTTTGCCAAATATTCTCTTGACTTGCTTTGAAAATTATATAGAAGTGTACATCACTGTATGCTTAAGGCACAATTTCTTGTTTTCTTTTTACCATGCTTTCCTCCAGCTATGTTGAGCTACCTCTTTATAGTTAAAAATGAGCTGCCTGCTGCCATAAAGTTTCTTATGGGAGAAGATGATACATTTGTGTAAGTTGAATTCATGTTTTTTTTCTGACTTGATTATTTTGGTGATAGGATGAAGGATTTATAGAAAGTGGTCAATGCCAGGAGGAATATATGGTGCTATTTTCCTACTTTTTAATGGAATTATTTCAAAAATGGAAAGAAGTAAAAAAAAGTTATCATTTCCATCTTTCCCAATATGTAATCTCTGGAATTGTTTGAAACTATAACCTCCCAGAATTCTCAGCATATTTGTGAGTCCTGAAAAATATAGTTCCAAGATATCCAGAAGGCCAATCCAGAAGAAAGTGTGGGAAAAATTGCCCACTGTAAACAAAACTCAAAGAGTTTGGAGTTAAATACAATGAAGTATCTTATTGGCATGGACAATTACGGTAATGACTGGATTCTTGGCCTGAACATTTGGAGATAATTGAGGCACTTTATGAGCATTATATCCAGAGAAATTATAAGTTTCATTGCAGGTAATTATTTGGAAGGATCTGGCTGAAGCAAACAGTGGGTGGGTCTAGAGATCAGAGTGAGTTGGGATACTTTCTGTGTCTGACACTTTTAATCTTCTCTTTCAGGATCCCTTTTCTCCCTACCTCAAATAGTAGCGTGAAGTAGAAAAACTAGATAGCTCTTATCACAGATATGAATTGAAATCCTACACATGGGGGTTGGGGTGAGGATTAAAATTATGCCAAATTTTGCTGATTTCCATCCCTGATTTTAAATTTAGCTACTTTAAATAAATGAGAGTATCCAGAATACAAGTTATCTTATTCTTCTGTTTTCAAAAATGCTTTACAGAGCCTGGTATGTGGATGGGCGAGTTCTGGTCGTAGCTGTGACCTTTTTAATAATTCTTCCTCTATGCCTTCTGAAAAATTTGGGTAAGAATAATTTACTTTTTTTAGACTAAAAGATGTTGAAACTTAATTTTCAGCATATGTTTCCATTCCTTCTTCTTAGAAATTGAGAACTGAAAATACAGTTGGGTACTGGTTTAATATATTTGGTTGTTTAATACACTAAATAATGTCTTTGTTTCATTTTTCTATTTCTGAGATTGGTTATGTCCAAAAAAAGTCCTGGACTCCCTGAGAACAGTAAATAGCATAGGTTGCTTCAAATAAACAAACAGTGCTATTAAGATATATTAATATTTTAAAAACTGTACAATCTTTAGTTTAGCAAACATCTTAGAATGTTTGTAAAGTTAAGATATTCCTGGATTCCTAACCCAGAACACTGTTATTTCAAATCTTATTTTTACCAGGTCTCTGCTTCTTGCTTATTACAAGCCCCCTGAATTTACCTCTTCGGAGCTTAATCATCTACAGTGTACTATATAACAAGATGTCCAGACAAGATTTTTTTTTCATAAAAGTTCACCCAGAGAATCTAAAAGTGCCCTTTACTTTTTGATTGTTTATAACATGGGAATGCATTGGGTAATGAGGGATAGAACAAAAAGTAATTAAATTAGATACAGTTTATATAATTATTACCCAATGATATAATAATTGCCTCTTCTTGTCACACTAAACATTACAATTCATCAGTAAAGGCTTGCAGGACAGTTCTTGCATTATAATCTAATGTTTTCCTTTTCTTCTAAAAATTCTCGGCCTTTACTGCTCTTTAGAATATAAAGTAATATTTTTGCAGTCAAGAACTTTTACAGTCCCATGTGAAGCATGGTTCTTAATTCTGATAGGTTTTGGTTTTTTTACAAAACTTAAAAATTCTGCTTGAAAATCACAGGTTCTTTTCAAGACATAGGCAAGGATGATATTACTAGAGGATTCGCTTATTGCCAGTGAAGTTTCTAAACCATTTGAGTTATTGCAAGAGAAAATTGGATTACTGGAAATTATGAAATGGCAGTTTCATTTCTTGATTTCACAATTTGGTCAAGATGTACTACTCTTGTTATAAATTACTGAATTTCTAACATGGGAAATTGTTTTCAATTATTCTAGATTTAGATCTCTCTCCAGGGTGTCGACGGCTCAGCTACTATTTGAAATAGCCCTTGCCTCCGTCGTTCCACTGTGCGTATAGGGCAGCTGGAGACATAACTCTCAATTTCTTTTTTGAGTGAGGGCCACCAAAACTGTCTCTCAAGGGGATGCAAAGTCTTCATGAATCCAAAGTGTCACACCAACTTTGAGTCATGGCACATTTGCATGGTTTTTAGTCTCTGGCTGACAAGTACATACAACTTTCCACCTACCCAGGCCAGTCCATCCTGTATAGAGCACACATTTTTGTGGCTGCCAAACCACTCATCTTTTTCCAGGGCTTTCTTAAAAGCCACTGTGGTAGCATTGTCCATGGACAGTTTTCCCTTCTGCTGGGCTTTTGTGGTTACCTGGGCCACCAGCTGGCGTGAGGGGAGTAGAGGCTTGATATTTCCATCTTGGAACTATTGTATTGTGGCATTCTAGAAAAAGCATCTGCCAGGATGTCCCCCCCCCCCCGGTAAATAGTGTAGGGTGAAGTCAAAACATAGGAAGTACTGGGCTTGCCGTGCTTGTTTAGGGGATAGCTTTCAAGGAGTTTTTAATGCTTCCAGATTTTTGTGATCAGTCCAGACCTGGAATGGTATTTTACTCCCCTTTAGAAAATGTCTCCAGGAGAGGAGAGCCCATCTAACAGCATAGGCCTCCTCACATACAGCCCAACGTTGTTCAGTCTCAGTTAGCTTTTTTGATGTGTAAATGCATGGCTGCAGTTGCCCTTCCTCATTTTTCTGCAGTACTATGGCCCCTATCACAACATTGTTGGCATCAGCTTGAATGACAAAAAGTCTCTCAGGGTCTGGGTGCTTCAGCATCGATTCAGCAGGAAAAAAAAGTCTTGAGTTTTTTGAATGGTGCCTGGCATTCCATAGTCCATTTCAGAGGTTGGCTGGGTTTTGGCTTGTCCCCACCTTTTTTTTCCAGCAAGTTGGTAATGGGCTATCTGAGCGAATGAAGGAATGAGCTGCTGGTAAAAGTTGGCAAACCCTAGGAAGCTTCGCAATTGCTTTCTGGTGCATGAGGGTGCCCACTCTAATACTTCCCACAATTTTTCTGGGTCCATTTCAACCCTTTCATGGGAAATACGAATCCCCAGTTAATCAATTTTGTCTTTGTGAAACTCACACTTAGACAGTTTAGCATACAGCTTGGCTACATGGAGTTTTTCTAAAACAGCCCTGACCAGTTTCACATTCACTTTCATTTCTGTGTAAATTAAGATGTCATCAAGATACACTAGAACTCCTTTGTATAGATGTTCATGGAACACCTCGTTTATCAGCTGCATGAACACTGTGGAGGCCCCTTGTAAGCTAAAGGGGAGTACTTTAAACTGGAAGCAGCCCATTGGGCATTTAAAAGCAGTCTTCCATTCATCCCCTTCTCTGATTCTAACATAGCAGTAAGCCTCTCACAAGTCTAGTTTGGAAAAAAATCCTCCCTTTGCCAGGTGGGCCAACATGTCCTTCATGAGGGGAAGGGGGCGCACACTACGTTCAGCCCCCTATAGTCAATGAAGAGACGAAGAGAGCCATCCTTCTTTTCTCAGAATAGGACAGGGGCAGCCACCCGAGGTCGGGCTGGCTGGATAAACCCTCAGACTAGATTTTTGTCAATGAAAGCATGTAGCTCGTCTAGCTCCCTAGGGGTCTGTTAGAGAATTTTAATTTCTCTGTTGGTAAAAATAAATCAGAAGCTCTCACAGTTGACTGCATTTAGCTGATTCAAATAAACTCTTTATATTCATATAAAAATATTTACAATACCATATATTCTTCTTCATAGCAACATAGCATAAATGAAGACTTCTTACAGCAGAGACAGATCTGAGACCTGAAACTGAAACCCAGCTTCTAACACAATAACCTTTTTACACAGACTCAGTAGCACTTTCTTCACATTGGCTGACTGAGTTACCACATGACTCTTCCTGCTCATGAATATTCCAACACTCCTCCCTTCATGACAGGAAGAGACATCAGACCTATTGACTCAATACATTTTCCATGGTGAATACCACCCAAT